GTCATCATGAGATCCTAAAAGAGCCAAGGGGAAGGCCCCCTGTTTCTTCAGGGACCTGACATGTTTTCAGGAATGGACAACTTGTGGGTCAGGTATGAGGGAATTCAGCGAATTTGTACAGAAATCCAGTCTTCTGTGACCGCCCTAGTCCTCAGCAGGGTTGCAAGAGCATCTGACAGTAAGAGGAGGATGTGGCTTGAGGATCTGTGGGAAGCACAGTATACCCTTCCCTTGACCACCAGCCCCAACACACCCAAACCTTTCAAGAGAGCACTCTTTCCAGATTGCATTGAAATCCACAACTAGAGACTCTTCCCTTGAGTTTCACCTTTACGTTGTCCTCAATGATCTCCTATAAAATGTGAACACCCCTGCAGGGGGTGTCATGTGAAGCAATGATTAAGCCCTATTGCTCGATACAAAGTCATTTAGGTGCTTGCCTTTTCCTCTAACTTAAGAAAAAAAGCACCGTTGCACAAGAACTTGAAGGTACTTAATGCTACTGAATATTGTACACTTTGAAAGACGGCTAAGGTAAATTTTACCTTCTGTATTTTTTTAAGATTTTATTTATTTATTCATGAGAGACACACAGAGAGGCAGAGACATAGAGGGAGAAGAGGCTCCCTGTGGGGATCCTGATGTGGGACTTGATCCCAGGACCCCGGGATCACAACCTGAGCCGAAGGCAGATGCTCAACCACTGAGCCACTCAGGCGTCCTTACCTTCTGTATGTTTTACCATAATTAAAAACAAAAACAAAAAGAAAGATGTATCTGAGGTATCCCTCTGTCCGTTCTGAGCAAATTCTCTTCAGACTAAGAGGCTCAAACCACAGCTTTTTCCAAGACCCTGCCCTCCCTCAGAACATAGCTGATGAGGGACTGGCAGGGTCACCTAGTACCAAACTGGGCAAAATTCAGTGTCTTGGTACTTCCTGTGTCCTGCAACACAAACACTAGAATATTACTCTGAAGAAACAGTGTACTAAGAAAAATGAGGAAGAACCTGCAGAATATGCTAAGCTTTTGGCCAAGAGAAATAGGCCAAAGACAAATGCCAGGGACAGGTGGCCAAAAGAGAGGCTGTCTTCTCTGAGAGCTTGGTACTCCACATGTCCTATGCTCGAAGATCCAGCACAGAAGGAAGAATCACTTTAATCACACTAAATGTCTTCCTGGGCTGGCCTTAGGGTGTGTTAAATAACAACAGGGGCTCTAAAAGTGACTTCTCATCTGGCTTCTTCTCCCAAAGCCATTTTGATAGGTAATCCGTTCACCGAGGGTTGGCTATTGATCCTTGGTGGTCCTCAGTAATGCTCCCTTACCTTCACAGAACATTCTAAAATTTTAGATTGCTCTTCCTCCACCTCCCTCATGAAGCCTATGATTCCTTCCCTTTATTCTCTTCTGCCCTCTCTCAATCCTTGACCTACATCTTCAAAGTCTAGATTCCAGTCCTGGTGGAACTCTGAAAGTACAGCATTATTGTATTTTTTTTTAAAGAGGTCACCGTGGGCTTATGGGTAGAGGGGATGAGTAGGATGGTGAGATGGTTACCCACAGACTCATAGTCATCCAAGAATCTGAGGATGGTGGAGATAGGTTCAGGAATCTGGGAGCTAGAGGCCAAGTCCCTACAATCCTCTTCTCTGAACAATAATAGCAGACTCTAAAGAGTGGAGAATTTTCTATGCCCCCTGCCGCCCACCTTCCACCACCTAAAGGCACTCCCCCATGGAAGGAAAAAGGAAAATACAAGTCTTAACACCTTATGCTTCTTAGAGCTGCTATACTTCTAGCTTTTCCCCATGCATTGTCTTACTTGATCCTTAAATCCCCACAGCTGTGGAGACAGGCCCGGTGAGGTTAGGCAGTTTGTTCTGAGAAACAAAGCAGGCTAATTGGCAAAGCCAGGGCTGGACCCTGGCTTTCCTAATTCTAGTTCTGTGCTCTTCACCACACCACAGTGCATTTGCTTTAGCTGTCAGGCAAGATTATTTAGAAATCAGCCCGGAGCCTTTTCTCTTTGTTGATACAAATCATGTGCAGATCTTTGGTTTCTAAAAGAGATGGCAAATTGAAAAGGAGAAGGTGGTAACTCCAAACAAATGAAAGACCCCATTTATAGCCCTCTAGAAAAGTGAACAATAATAACATAATAATAATAATAATAATAATAACATAATGCACAGCATTATGTCCATAATCGAAGAAAAGTTTCCATTTATTCTTGCACTGTTGATGCATGCTTCCAGACACTGGAACTCAAAACATCTCCTGATTGTGCTCTGTTGGAAGCCTCAAGTTACAATTAAGGAAGCATGGGTCTCTTTCTTCCTTATTATTGAGCAAAGAGATTCGACCTGATCTAAAATAGGATCTGCTTACACAGAAGGGAGAAATAGCCGGGTGGGTGGCAAAAGAAGAATCACTCCAACTTATTAGAATCAAGTTCAGGAGAAGGCTAACGTTTCCCCCGATTTGTACAGTTAGTTAGCTCCTGCTACTCAGAAATATATTATCAAAACCACCAAACCCCTGGTTTTCCTTTCTTCTCTCTTTTGCTGACCACAATATGACTACCTCAGTGCTGTTGACAACCCCCACTGGCTGGTAGAGTGTCCTGGCTTCTGGGAGACGTCATTCATTATCTGGGAAACAGTCGTAATCCTGAATGTATTTAGAAAAAGCGACTGGCCAGTAAAGCAAACCGCTTTCCCCAGGCCAGGTCACTGTTCTCACAGGAAGAGCTCTGTGGCTCCTCTTGCTACATGTTCTTCATAGGTACCCTAATCATCATTAAAAGGTTAAAATATTTTTAAAAGCAGAAATAATAGTTTTGCGGTGGGATTTGTTTTCCCACAGCTGGTGCATTAATGTTGCCTATGGGCATTGGCTGGAAGCAGCTTCCTTTATGTATATTTGCAATGTGTTTTTCTAATGTCTATGAAAAACGGTACCAACGTGTCAACACCTACCCAGGGATTATGCTCACTATCAGAACAACCTTGTGTCCCCATTTATGCCAGATAAATGAGGGACATTGCTGTACCTGACTCCCAGGGTGAGGACTATTTCCCCCACGTGCCCCTGACATGGCTGGGTATCTGTGCCCTCCCTCCACATCTGTGCCTCCCTGCCTGGCCCTGAGGTAGCTTTCACAGCGTTCCCTTTCTTCCAGTCATTGTCTTGGACTGCTGCCCACTCCCTGGCCCCCACCTGCCTTAAGGCTGAAACTAAAACTGGAGATCAGCCAATGGGGCAAGGCCAGTTGATCTTCAAGGAGTGGGTCCTGGGAATGAAAGGAAGTTCATTTAACTTATCAACAGCTCCAGTAAAATACTAGATGGGCCAGAAGGTCAAAACCAATGCCTTGAATGAGGCTTAGATATTATCAGCTCATTTAAGTGCCCCATAATATGTTTGCCTTGCTGTCACAGAAATCAGCTGCATTTAAACAAGTTGGCTTAATGCTAAGAGGTGATTTTTATGTGTGTTTGATGAAGCCCAAACAGCCACCATCAGGAATAAGTATTTAAGCCCTAAGCAGGCAAGTTCTGATGACCTTCTTGAGACAAGGAGAATAAATGAATAAACATGCATCTGTCACTTTACCCATTGCTGGTTAAGACTGCTCAGTTGAAGCATCGTCCCTCTGACTTAAGATATACTGTATTTGTTGGCTTTTCTCTTTTAGTAAGCTACATGTTGGAGACTTACAAAGGTGGTTTCTAAAAATTAACTTTGATAATGGCTAATAGTGATGGGTATGAGAGGTCTTTAAAAGTATATCCTGAAGAACTGCTTTAGTGGGAAATCCTCACTTAGCATCATGATATTTCAAGGTGCTTCCAAATTAAAGAAAAAAAAGTAGTTATAAAGCAATTCCAACTTTTGAAACCCTTGGAAAAACAACCCATTTAGCTGTATCAACTGTTTCTTCCAGTTCCAATTCCAATCACCTCTACTGTATTGGAATTGAATACACAAATATAAATACCACAACCACACAACCCTCAAATCTAGACATTTCCAAAAGCAAAAAGGATTCCTTTTCTACATAGTCCTGGGACTCAAGGCTAAGATCTTTGAGAGAAGAGTCTTAGGCTATTGCTTAAACAACTTTTATTACCTGTGAGATTACCCAGGTTACAGAGGAAGGGAACATCTGAGCCACCTGTTCCATACATGAAGCAGACAGCTGCCATAACAACTGAATTGACCTGTGGGGGGAGGGGGCGGCATTTTGAGGTACTGAGGTGATACACCTAGCGATAGTTACCCACTCCAGAAGATGGCAAAGTTGCTAAAAGTCAGGCAAGTTACCTCTGGGATGACAACTGGATGCAAGAAAGCCATAGAGTTGGGGTCATAGGCCTTCCCCTGCCCTTGGAGTTTCCCTCCCCCTTCAGTCCTCATTAAGTCCATTGTAGCCCACCAAAGGGTCCTAATGTCCTGCTAGCTCCCTGCTGCAAGAGGGAGGGGAAAGATGTCTGAGGTCTCTTCGTTGTCTCTGTCTCGGTCCCTAAGGCAACAAGAAGCTGGAGCTGCTGGGGCCTGCCTGGCAGGATGGCCCACCCGTTGGCTCCGCAGAGTGAGCAGTCCCGGCAGTCCCCGGAGCAGAGTTCTGATGGACTTCACTGCTTCACCTCAACGCCAAGGGCTGGACTTGTGCGATTCAGTTCCCAGGCGGCTGGAGCGTGGTGTCAGGGCTGTCTGAAGACAAGAGAGCAGAGGCGGTTTAGTGCAGTTGGCTGTGTGGGGTGGGAGCAGAGGCCTCGGTTGGAGGGAGAGGCGGGAGAGGAGGGAGAACGCGGTCTGGGGTGGGTAGGGTGGTGCTTCTTCCAGGGCCTGCCAGACAGGGTCTAAGGGGTCCTCTCGTCGTCGTCTGGGCCTCAGGTGAGGCGGCGCCTGGAAGGGGAGAGAAGGAGCAGGCCGCTGGGGGACCGCGGGGAGCCGAGGGGGGCGCGCGCAAGCAAGCAAGCGGAGCGGCGGTCCTAGACCCCCTCGGCGGTGCCCGGAGCCGGAGCGGGCGGCGGCCCGAGGGCTAGCGGGTGGCGGCCCTCCGCGGGCGAGCCAGCTGCGGTCTCGGCGTCGGCGGCAGCCCACTCGTGCACCGCACAGGCCTGGGCGGGCTCGTCCTTGACGTTGACGAGATTGCGGGAGCGGGTATAGGCCAGGATGAGGCCTCCGGCCAGGCAGGCGTAGAAGATCATGATGAGCAGAATGTAAAGATAGGCGTCGTCGCCCTTGGCACTGGTGGCCTCGCGGCCCACGAACGGGTCACGCACGACCCCCATTCCCATGCTCGGGCCGGGGCCAGCGCCCAGGCCGCTGGCGTTGCCCCGATGGTGCAGCTCAAGCAGCAGGCGGCTGAGCAGGGTGCGTAGCCGCTGGCTCTCGCTGCAGTTCATGGCTGTCGGGGAATGGCACGGTGGCTCCAGGACGCTGCTGACCTTTCCCCCGGGGGCGCAGGGAAGCAGGCAAGAGAGAGAGAAAGGGAGAGAGAGGCGGCGGCGGCACCTGGCTCCTGGGCGGGCAGTGGCTGGGGGCACTGGCAGCGCGGGCCTCCTTATCCCCTCACCCCCGCCCTCCTCCCCTTCCCCACCACGCCCCCTCCGGCCCGAGGCCGCCTCTTCCCAGGCTCCCGCTGTCTCGGCGCTCTGGGGAAAGGGGACAGCTGGTAGGGGGGAGGAGAGGGGGACCAGGGAGGGGGTGAGGCCCGCGGAGGGGCGGAGGGGCGGGGGCTCGGAATGTGCGAGGCCCTGGGCGACAGAGGCTGGTGTAGCAGCGCGCTGGGGCCAAGCCTGGACCCTGGGCTGCAGAAGAGAATTCCTTCCGAGTTCTGGCCACCTGCCCCGCGGGCCGGCTTTGACTTTGGTGCAAAGACAGCCTCTGGCCCCCCAAGGCCAGCCCTGCCCCAGGGTGCCACCAGCGCTGCCGCAGAATGGGCAGCCGAGGCCATGCTCCTCCAACGTCTGATGGCAGTGGCTCCGGTAGCCAGGGCCCTGGCCTATCTTTCCAGCCTTATCTCCTTCCCCACCCCTGCACCAAAGCAGAGCATTTCAGATGCTCAGGACAAATCTGGTGACTGAAGCGCAGTACAACTCCCTGGTCTCCCAGAAGGGCTTCTGACAACAGACCATCCTCCTTGGAGGTCCCCCTGCCCTGCCCTCCTATCCATTTGTAGATAGGCCTACCCACCTTAGCAGGGGGATTGTACCATCCATGGCATGAGCCTGTTTCCCTCTGGGAAGCCATCTTCCCAGAAATGAAACCAGGCTCGAACATTAAACGGGAAACGGGCATTAAAAAGGCCCTTTGGGGGCACCTGGGTGGCTCTGTTGGTTAAGCCTCTGCCTTCAACTCAGGTCATGATCCCAGGGTTCTGGGATGGAGCCCCAAATCAGGCTCCCTGCTCAGCTTGGAGCCTGCTTCTCCCTGTCATCCCTGCTTATGGTCTCTCTCACTATCTCTGTCTCTGTATCTGTCTCTCTCAAATAAATACATAAATAAACAAGCAAACAAACAAACTTTTTTAAAAAGGCCCTTTGTGACAGTCTCTAGATATCTTGGGATCTGAAGAGTGTGAGTTCTAGAGAACATGCGCACCGATCACCTCCACATCCCATTAGGCTAGCGCCCAGCCCCATGCCTCTCCAGGGCTTGATAATAGGTCTAGGCCCTGCTGGCTGGTTGTGGGGCAGCCATTTTTCCCCCATTGGGAATCTTCTTTGAGGGGAAAATCAGACACTGCGACAAAGATCAGACCACAGTATGTTAAATCACAATCAGCCTGGGCTTCACAAAGGAACCGTGCTCAAAGGGCTGATTTTTAGACAATGAATAGAAAAAAAACATGAGGCCGTGGTTGCCAAGTGATAATAGAAGGAATGAAAAAAAAAAGGATAGGGCTTTATGCACCCTTGAGACTCAAGCTGCCTTTTTGAGAACCTTTCGTCCAACTGCCATTCAGTGTACAGGTGCCATGAGTTAAAAAAAAAAGAGGGTTTTGGGGTGCCTATCCCCCTGCTGCCCCTTCAGGGAATGCAGCTTCTGTGTGTTGGGGTGAGGTTGGAACCCCAGGGCACTATACCCAGAGTCTCAAACAAAGCCTTGCAACTTCTAGACAGGTCTCAGAGACACTCCATATGGCCCTGACCACTGACTCCCTCCCAACCACCTTGCCTCAATGTCCTCACCTTAGTGGGGCTCAGGGAAGAATCACTAAAGTGACTTAGCATGAAGAATGCCAGAGAACACAGCTAGAAAATTCTTGAAACCAGATCAACCTAAGGATAGGACTAAAAAGCTAAAAGGCTCCTCTTATCATGCTCCAGAAATCTCTAGCGTCTAGGGATAGGGGGTGAGAGAGAATCCCTTTCACTGTCACATAAAAGTAATCATTTAAATTCCTATTGTACTTTGAACAGCCTTATGAGCTCAGAGGATTCTTTTCATTTTCAGAAGAGGAAACTAGTTCAAGTAGTTAAGTAGCGGAACTAGAATGATGAAGTTTGACCTTGTTCATCAGAGTCCTAACACATTACTCTTGTCACATGGATGGTATCCACGAGCTGCCTCCATTTCTCCACACCTCCCTTCCCTGGAACCTTCTAGAATCCAGCATATTTTGCCAAACCACTCTCTGTAAATTCACCAATGACCTCCTGACCAAATTCAAGGATCTCTGCTCAGTTTTCATCTCTGACCTCAAGGATGAATTTGATACCATCAACCACCCACTCCTTCCTGTAACTGTCCTACCCTTGGCTCTCATGGCATTGCATTCTCAAGTTTCTCTTCTTATCTCTCTGACCCATCATTCTCTGTCTCCTTTGCTGGCTCCTCTTCTTTCCTCCTCTGTTAACTGTTGGAATCCTTGAAGACTCAGTCCTCAGCTATTCTCTCTTAACATCCATTTCCTTGGAAAGTGTCTCCTTACATGGCTTTGAGGACCAACTGGCATATATTTAGCCAAATTTGAATCTCTAGCTCTGATTCTTTGTCACATCCACCTGCTCCTTCCTTTCTGGTTTGGCCACAAACTTAATCCAAACTCTCTTTACCTCAGGTCAAATATGCAAACGTTTGGCAGAGTCTCCTGGCAGATCTCCCTGCCTATAACCCAATCCACCCTGATTTGGGTAGAATACAGATCTTCCTCAACTTAAAATGGGGTTATGGGGCAGCCCAGGTGGCTCAGCGATTTAGTGCCGCCTTCCACCCAGGGCCTGATCCTGAAGACCTGAGATTGAGTCCCATGTCAGGCTCCCTGCATGGAGCCTGCTTCTCCCTCTGCCTGTGCCTCTGCCTCTCTCTCTCTCTCTCTCTCTCTGTCTCTGTCTCTCATGAATAAATAAATAAAAATCTAAATAAATAAATATAAAATAAAATAAAATCGGGTTATGCCCCGATAAACCCACCATAAGTTAAAAATTTCTTAAATCATGGGCACCTGGGTGGCTCAGTTGGTTGGGCTTCTGCCTTTGGCTTGAGTCATGGTCCTGAGATTGAGCCGCATGCCAGGCTCCCTGCTCAGCGAAGAGCCTGCTTCTCCCTCTCCCCCTACTTGCTGCTCCCTCTGCTTGTGTGCTCTGTCTCACTCTCTTGCTCGCTCTTGCTCTTGCTCTCTCTGTCAAATAAATAAAAAGCAAATATTTTAATTCAAAAATGCACTTAATACACCTGACCTGCATCGCAGCTTAGCCTAGCCTATTTTAGACATGCTCAAAACTCTTCCATTAGCCTACAGTTGGACAAAACCATCTAACACAAAGCCTATTCCATAACAAAGTATCAGAGGTCTCACGTAACTTACTGAATACTGTACTGAAAACAGAATGGCTGTAAGCCTATCAGTTATTTATGAGAACAAATCATAGCATATATAGCCAGCATGGGAAAAGATCCAAATTCAAAAAAAAATTTGAAGTACAGTTTCTAAGAATGTGTACCACTTTCACACTCTTGTAAAGTCAAATAATTGTTAGTCAAGCCATCCTAAGTTGGAGACCCTCTGTAACTCTCTTCCAACACCACTTCCACCAATTCACCTCTATGTTGAAAAACCCAGAATCGCTCCCTGTTGCTTCTTTAATGAAGTCCCATCTTCTTTGGTGGGCCTGAAGTCCTCACCATTGATGGACACCATCTCCTCCCCTTGAATTTGAAAAACAGCTTTTGGGGTACCTGGGTGGCTCAGTCAGTTGAGAATCTGCCTTCAGCTCAGGTCATGATCCCAGAGTCCTGGGATTGAGCCCCACACTGGGCTCTCTGCTCAGCAGGGAGCCTGCTTCTCCCTCTTCCTCTACTTGTTGCTCCTCCTGCTTCTACTCACTTGTGCTCTCTCTGTCAAATAAATGAATAAAATATTTTTTTAAAACAGATTTTTCCCGGAGTCCTCTCCAATACACTGTGCCTTCCACCTTCCTCAAAATCCACTGACTGGAGGAAGCCTTGCTTGATACCCCTGTTGATGCTCTCAGAGTCTTTACAATGCAACCTTCCTGGTGGTGCCTTAACTCTGACTCCAGCACTCAGCAGAGAAAATTTGGAAAATGGAAAAAAGGCCAAGAAAAAAATTACCAATAGCATGCACACCTGCTGCAAACAGGCGCACACATGCATACACCCCCTTACACACATCATTGTTTTGTGACCTATCTTTTCACTTAATCACATCTTGTGAATTTTTCCTATGTCAATTACATTTTAATAACATCATTTTCTTGTCTGCACAGTATTTTAGACCACAGATCTACCATTATATATTTAAGTTAGCTCTTATTGTAAGATTTCTGATTCTTCCCAGGTTTTTGCTATTCAAAATAGTGTTTCTTTTTTTAAAGACTTTATTTATTTATTCATGAGAAACAGAGAGACAGAGAGGTAGAGACACAAGCAGAGGGAGAAGCAGGCTCCATGCAGGGAGCCCAACGTGGGACTCGATCCCAGGTCTCCAGGATCATGCCCTGGGCTGAAGGCGGTGCTAAACCGCTGAGCTACCCAGGCTGCCCCTCAAAATAATGTTTCTATGAATACACACAAAGCTAATTCTAATTCCATTAAATGAAGTAATTGCTAGAGAGAGCACACATTACTCATTTACAGAAGACTGGCATGGGGAGCGGGAGATGTGTGAAAGGGGGTGGAATTAGGAACGAAGACTAGTCATAAAATTTTAAAAGGCCCAACCCTTGGCAAAAAAACAACCGGTGTGTGTGTGTGGGGGGGGGGGATTCTGGTTTTGTTTTTACTTAAGGGGCTGCTGGGTATCCCTTCAAATCCTAGTCTGAGGCCAGCCCCGAATGGCTGAGATGCCAACCCCATTTCCCCACCACACTTAATGAAACTGCAAATCCCTCAGACAAGGATTGGATCTCATTCCTCCCACCCTTCCACCCCCTCCTAA